CGGGGTGCTGCCGGGGGGTCCTGGCCTTGGTGCCAGGGCCTTTGGGGAGGGGAAGGTGCTGCTCCCCAGCCACATGGGAGCCGGGTCCGAGCGGATTGTGCCAGCAGGAGCTTTTCCAGGTCGACTCGTGCCCCCAGCCCGAGCCCCCCGGCCCAAGCCCCCCTCACCCTCCCTCCTCTTGTCCCCGCAGTGGTGCACGCAGTGAGCGCCGAGGACGGAGCCCTGCAGAACGGGGCTCACCCCCTCAGCTCCTCCGAGGTTGACGAGCTCCTGCACAAGGCGGACGAGGCCACCCTGAGCGAAGCTGCCGGGCGGGAGGCCCCGGCCAAGGTGGGCAAGGAGGCCGGCAGCGCCCCGGCCAGCCAGAAGCCAACGCCGCGGCGGGAGATCACGGGGCTGCAGGCCAAGCCGCGGGAAAGCACCGTGGTGCTGCCGCCGGGCGAGGGGATGGAGCCGAGCCGGGAGCAGCCCGTCACCATGATCTTCATGGGCTACCAGAACGTGGAGGATGAGGACGAGACCAAGAAGGTGCTGGGGCTGGAGGGCACCATCAAGGCTGAGCTGGTGGTGATCGAGGACGCCGAGAGCAAGCCGGAGCCGGCGTGCAAGGACCACGCGCCGCCCAACGGCACCGCGCTGGAGCCCGTGGCCGCCCAGCCGCTGGGAGAGGAGGGTCCGGGCGGGCAGAAGCCAGGCGCCAACGCCACAGACACCAAGGAGGCCGAGCAGGAGACGGACGTGAAGAAGCAGCGCTGCAAGTGCTGCACGGTGATGTGAGCCACGCCACCGCCGGAGCAGGCTGCCCCCGCCGAGCCCCCTCCACCCCGGCCCCCGCTAGCCAGGCCCGCCGCCCCGGCACGCCGGGCTCCCTCCCCCACCGGACACAGACCCTCTTTCTGCAGAACCGGGGAGATCCAACACGGCGCCTGCAAAGCCGCAGCAGGCAGCAGCGAACCGCGGCCGCGGCACCGCTCGCCCCGTCTGCCTGACATCCGCCCCGCGCCGCACCCCACCAGCGCTGCCTGTGATATTTATTAGAGACCCCCTCGTCCCACGGCACGCCCACCCCCACCCACGGCCCGGCCTCACCCTGCGCCAGAGCCCTCCTGCTGACGCCGCCGGAGCCTTTCCCTCCTCTCACCGGCAATTTCCCACCTGCTGTCGGAGGATGGAGCTGGCCGGGCTGGGGGATCGGAGGACGCCGCTGCGTCTGTAGATGACTCCCGGGGAGCCGGTGGCCAGTGGGACCCATGCTTGGCCCAGCCCGTGGTGGGCATGGAGCCAGCCCCATGCCAGCCCCTCTCTCCACACCTCCGTCGTCCCCTTCTCCTGCAGGGAAAGGCCCTGGGCTGTCCCCCCCCAGCTGCCCATGGATGTCCCTGCTCCATCCTGCGTCCTCATCCCCACGCCCCTGGGCTCCCCAAGCCATGAGCCCCTCCAGGATGGAGCGTGTCCAGGCGAGGGAAGGGTGTTGAGGGCAGCATCCCCTCTGCAATGCTCGACTGCGGTTGGGAGCTCACAGTGGGCTCCTCACCCTGGTGCTCGTGGTGACGGCTGCCACCATCCAGGTACCGATGCTGCAGGCTGCCACAGGGCCATTCCCCATTTCAGCTGCCATGCTGGTGTCGCTGGGCTCTACTGGTTGAGAGGTGCTGTGGCCGGCTGCCTGTGTCCTCTTGGGGCGACGTGGGTAGTGATGGCAGCGAGGGAAGGGGAGCTGGGGGGCCCCAGTCCCGTGGGGATGGGGATGGGGTGGGAGTTCCCATGCCCCCTTGCAGCAGTGGGAGGATGGCCCTGCACCGCATCCCCCTCCTGCCTCTGCTGCCTGGTGGCAGCAGCTTTGCAGAGCTGCTTTCTGGGGCCCCAGGCTGCAGCGGGGCAGCCCAGTTCACCCCAGGCACCGGGACTGGGAGCTGTCAGGGGTCCAGTGTCCCACGGAGGGTGTTCCCAGGACACCGTGTCTGTGCCGGGACTGCGAGCAGCCTTCCCTGCTCCCCCCACCCTGCGCCCCAGCCCTTCAGCGGGGATTTCACCACCAGCACCAGCGTTTCCTCCCCACTGAGACCCGCTGGGGCAGGCAGGGAGGGCGGGGGGGGGGGGGGGGGCGCCTACGATGGCACCCGTGGGTGCTGAGCCCTGCCCAAACCCTGGGTTCTTCTGCTGCAGCACCTGACACATCTCACGGGTGTTGGGCACGTGGCTCCCGCTGAGCCCACCTCACCACCTTGCGGGTCCGGCATCCCAGGGACACGGTCCTGCCCTGCCCCACCCCAGCACGGGGGCTGCCATCGGGGGGGGGGTTGTGCCATCTCCCACCAGCTCTGTCCCAAACATGCTGGGGCTCGGACCCCCATGTGCCAGCCCTGGGCTGGGGTTGCTTTCGATGCCCGGTGCCCCACGTTGGCTGCCCCTGAGCTGGCTGCAGCCGGGCTGGCAGTGCCCAGTCCCCACGCCCTGGGGACACAGGAGCTTTGGGTAGGGCGCAGCTGGACGGAGCGTGGCCCAGCTGCCAGCCAGCCAGCACAGTGGGTCCTCGTCCGAGTGGGTCCCTGCTGCCGAGCGCGGCCAGGCAAGTCCCCAGGGATCCCCCGAGCCCCTGGCGAAGTGTGTGCAGAGCAGCCCTTGCGCTGCCCAGCCCACCGCGACGCAGGTGGTAGAGCAGCCACAGATGGGGCTCGGCCCCCCAACGCCTTCCCTCCCCCCCCCACCTTCCCTCCCCCTCCCCCTTCTTGTGTGAGCAGTGATCCCCCCCATGACATCCCAGTTGCCCCCCAGTTACCACTCAGGCTGCAGTTTTCCCCCCAACGGAGTCACTGCAGGGATAGGGGAGGGGGCAGGGGCCGAGGGCAGGGGCTGTTGGGGGCTGCGGGGGGCTGGCGGTGCTGCCATGCCAGTCCTCCCCTGGGGAGCCCAGCCCCGAGCCCTGGCCGGGTGCTGAAAGCCTCTGGGAGAGGCAGAGCTGGGGAAGGGAGGAGAGGGGGTCGGGGCTGGCACCCCCGGGCGGGAGAAGGGGGAGCCTCTCCCACCTCTCCCACAGACCGGCATCACTGGAGCCCCATTGCTGCAGAGCGGGGGGCTGGGGCTGGATGCTGCGGGGCATCTGCCCCATTGATCCTGGGGGGCTGGGTTAGGGCTAGGTCCCCAACAGGGATGCACGTCACCTCCCGCCACCCCCTCGCTGGGGGCCAGCACCGCTCGTCCCATCCCGCCCCAGGTCCTT